GCCCTGAACTCGCAATACTTTCAACACGGTTATAGTTTTGTATCACCTCAACCACGTTCTGGAGCTTGGAATTGCATTCTCCTTAATATGTCAATAAGCGATGCTAAATTCTCCTCTCTCGAGATTGAAACGCCTGAAAACCACAGACATCCTTCCTCATCCTTTCTCCAGAGACATCAAAAAAAATAAAAAAAAGTACTGGATTTCACCAGTCGTGAGGCTTCTATTTTCACTCGAGAACGACACCGCTTAGAGCACGCCTCTCCCCTTGTAGCAAACAATCCCATTTTTACTCAACTCGCATATAGGCCTGCATAAAGCAGCCCTCAATGAGTACATTAATCATTCATCATGCGGTGTACAGCGAGCATGCCGACCATCCCTTTTGGCGACGTCGCGGAAAGCAGTCTTGCATGCTTAACGTAAGAATACAGAAATTCCTACCCTCTGCATTGCTTGGTGGCAAACTGTTTGTGTCAAGCTTTTGTGGTAAACAGTGGTACGGAACATTGTCTTTTCCCAGATCGAGAAGAGACAACAGCACTGCATTCCTCTGTGTTCATCGAACTTTTGCCATAGTTTGTCCTACGTTTAGTAACATAAGAGAGTCCTATGTACGGAAAGCAAAGAGGTTATGGTGCTGGGCACAAAGTTGGCTATACGCCTTGTTCCTTGGCGAAAGTTCGGTGAAGGCACCCCTGAGCAAGTGAGAAATGTGTGAGGTGTTGAGGGCCATGCCTGAGTTCAATTTCTTTTCCACCGCCTGTCGTCGTCATCTGGCATGTCTGGTTCGAAAGTTTCCTATTCAAAAAACATTGTACGATGAAAAATTAAACAACGCAAGCATCGCCCACACACAAAATGGTCTATTCTTACGAGTAGGTCCGTTAGTATATTATCTCCAGCAAACTTCTGACTATGGTATCGTTGTTTATACATCTCATCCCACTGTATAACTGCACACTTCGGAAATTTGGCAAGTGTAAAGCTTTGCTCTCCTGAGCTTTGATACTATAATTTCACGGGGGTTGGGGTGCAAACTGACCGAGGCTTGCTTATTCACAAGCTCATGTCAGATACGACCAGCGGTGTCTCTGCCGCATTGGGTTGAATTTCGAAATAATCGCTTGCCAAATAGCGAACACCCCTCACGCATTGTGGAACGTTATATAGTCCCATGTCAGCGCCTAGTATCATACAGCTGCTCCGGTCTTTGTTCTTTTGAGAACGAAGAAATCCACATGAGCGAAAGACTGCCGGGGACAACCGAATAAAAAAAGTCTCTTGTTTCCCACAGCCGCACGTATCCAGCGTTGAACCAGACTATGCATGACACGAAAGGGCACAAAACTAACTCGAGTCTAGATCACATCGCTGTTTCGAGATGCGCGACAAAACTGAATGAATAAAAGGAGGGGAAACAGAACTGTAGGAGTACTGTCAAATAGTTTTTCATCGCTCTGTCTTCCCCACAACGCAGTCGTATTAGCACGACAAAAACAACGTATGGGCCACGAATTTGTGTTACTGGTGAGGTCCACACTAAAAGTGGCACAAGAAGTCCGTTACACTATGCACACTAGTTTCAGTAGAGAGTGGACGACAAAAATTGCAAGAGTCGGTGACACAGAGGTTTCATATTCGATAAGTGAGTGAACGAAAGGAGAGAATACAATCCCAACTTGCGGAAGAAAAACGCTTTCAGAAAGCAACTTTCACATTCTTGCTAAAACGCTACTTTATCGAGAGATCTCAACCAGGCTAGTAACGCCCAGACGAGCATGCCAGAAAGCATGAAATGCACAAAATCCTTCCGTACGTTCCAACAGTGAAGTACTGTACCCTTGGCTACAGTATGAAGCATCCACCCTTCGTAGATAACCTCTCTTCCCGGAACTCCGCGTGCACGACATCACGCGGTGGGCCCCCGCCTTGAGATACCTCTCCCGAAATAGCCATAGGATCAGTACGAGAAGATGATGTTCTCCTTGTGTAAATTACGCTTTGCGATGATAGCTTCGCAGTGCCTGAGGCTTCTGGACTCCGGATTAAGGGGATTACCATACGGTCCACCACCAAAAAAATGAGGCGCTCCACTCGAGACTTCTGCAGCCCTCAATGCACGCGTCTCCAACTCAAGCTTTCCTGCTGCAGCAAATCCCCTATATATAGTCCCAAAATGTAGGTGGTTGTTCCTGTAACGTGCAAGACAGAAACATATCAACCGTACCGCCCGAGTCTCCTCCACACTTCTAAGCCCAGTCTCACTCATTCGCACACACACGCCCTGTCGCATTTCTTTTTTTCAACTGCAATCGATAATCTGCGTCGTACTCAGGACTCCAAAATGTTTACTTCAAACTTTGTTCAACCATCTTCATTTTCTCTGTCCCAGCAGTCCGGTGCTCCTACGCATTATTTGGGACAAAATGGAACAGACACTTCTGATGCTACTGTTGCTGCCATCATTCGAAGAAAGAAGCGATCAAACTAAGCAATTGTAGGAGCCTGTTTTCAAGTTGACGTCGTTGCGCGTCTCATTCCTCAGTTAACATATTCGCTTACATTCGATTGGGACAAGGGGAAGATTTCGCTTAAGGGAACAAGATTGCACGCCCTACGCTCTGACGAAACACTTCAGGGCATGGTAGTTTAGATTGCCTGGTGCTCAGCGCATGGTTCGCAACGCTTGGTCCGGAACGCCTGTATTTTTTATGTGATGAGCTCAAGCAAGTGGAATGTACAATGGGAGTCTTCATCATCTTCTCAACTTTTCCTTAATGGGAATCTTCTCGAGGTCGAAACCTTGCCTCCCCAGCCGCGAGGCAAGGTCCCTCAAAACTTTTTTCTTTTCTGTCGAGTTCTGTGGATACGCCAGATCATACATGATCGCCAAATTAAAAATGAGACCTTCATCCAAAGCCATGTGCGGGTCCCTTCGCAACGCGCCTTCCAATCTATCTACAGCTTCCGCCAGCCTTCCACAATGCATGAGGCAAATAGCCGCGTTGTTCGTCGTATGGACCCAAACGTTACTGGGCGAAAGAGGCTGCTCCTCTTTCTCCTCTGTCATCGCAGTGTCATACTCCAATAAAGCTTCCTGAAAGCGTCCACGAGCGGCGAGCAGCATTCCGCTGTGCAAGTGCTGTAGCGAAGGTGTGGAAGCTGGGAGGGTTGCAGCTTGGTGCAGGGTGCGTGCGGCGGCTTCGAAGTCACCCACCTGCAACAACACACGCATGTACATGTACAAAGCAGCGGCGGTGCGTCCCTGATCGACGGTAAGCTGGCGTGCGGCGTCAGTGGCAGCGTCGTGCTGCTGGGCAATAAGGTGGTAGCTGGTGAGCGAGGAGAGTAGAGTAGCGTGCTGTAAACGTAAGTCTTTGAGAATTTGTTTATCAGTCTCCGCTGTGATCTGACGAGTGACATCGTTTTTGATATGGTAGCAATCCGCGTC